TCTAAAAGCTAATAAAGTTCAGAATCATTTTTGAATAATAACTTTTATTATTTTACAAAAAAGATTCACTTCAAATATATTTAACAAGAATTAAATTTCTTGACTCATAATTTAAATGTAGTTTTATTTTCCTGTTGACTATAATTGTCTGATGTATTTCTGTTAGCCCCAAAACAAACTTATTTCTGCTCTTAAATTTTTATTTGTCTTATCTTTTTCCCTTTTATCGATTCACTACAACACTGTTATTCATCGCAATAACCATTTTATTATCTTCCTATTGTCGACTACTACCTATATATCTCAACCGCACTTCTAGCCCTTTATTTCTTTTCTTTCTTCTTCTATTTCAAATATAATGAAATTTTACTCCCATATTAAAACGTATAAAAAAGTTTCTAAAATTGGCACCCACTTTAAAATATTCTAATACAATTTATTTCTATACCTACATATATTATATTCTACATTTTAAAATATAATATATATTTCAGAATATTGTTTTAAAAACTAAATAGGTATCTATATTCCTTATATCCATAAAAAAAAATCGGACTGAAATCGAGGGTTCCGTACTCGAAGCGAACTTATTTTGTATAAAAACAAATGTTTAAAAAATATGTGTTGTATGACAAATAATATAAGTGATACGAAGAGGAACAATTTTCTTGAATTTTATACAAAATTGTTCCTTTTTGTATCACTTATTTTATTTGACATACAACACATATTTTTTAAACATTTGTTTTTATGCCAAATAAGTTCGCTTCGAGTACGGAACCCTCGATTTCAGTGCGAGTGTAACTCGCACTTGTCCGATTTTTTTTATTTTAGAGTTGTAACGACTGAAGAAATAAACTCAAGGAAAAAATCCACTTTTTCCACTTCTTATCATGTTTATTAAATTATTTCTATAATCTACACATAAAAATACGTGAAAATAATAAATTTGAAGCCCTTCAGATAAAATTTGTTTTGTTATTGAGAGAAAATTCATGATTTTTTCTAAAATTATCAGTTTTTTCTTGACAGCACCTGAAAATTCAACTCCAATCATCCTCGCTATATTTTGTGTGCGCTAGGGAGATTAAACCATTTTTTTTCGAAATTTTTTATTGTTCCTTGACAATGCTATGTAAATTGATCCCAATCAAATTCGCTATATTTTTCCTGTAATTTTCACGTAAAAATACATAATAGTGTACCAAATTTGAGCTCTTTATGTCAAAAAATGTGGCTGTTAGGGGGGGGGGAGGGGTACATAGTCATTTTTAAGTATTTTTCGTAAAAATTCATGGTTTTTCCTTGACAACGCTATGATAATCAATTCCAATCAGGTTCGATATATTTTTCCTGTAATCTACATGCGAAAATACATATGTGTACCAAATTTCAGCCCTCCAGATAAATTCGTGTGGCCGCTACGGGGGGCCACACGATTTAAAAAAAACCGATATTAATAGGGTTCCAAACCGAGTACGGAACCCTAAAAGTATTAAAATTTTCTAAAACAGATGCCAATTATTCATAAATTATAATTACTTAATTATCGAACTAATCTGAAAATTAGATATGAAATCTACATTTAAACGGGAAGTGACAATCAATGATATAAATTACGTTAAAGTTAAAAATGTTTCTTATTTTTACATGTATAGTATAATAAAAAATGGAAAAAAGTATGAAATTTTTATTAAATAAGCAGTCTCTTTTTTTCCATGTTAAAGGCATATCCATAAATTTATAAGTTTGCATAAAAAGAAGTGTTATGATACATCAGGTGGAGTTGCACTTGTCTAAAGAAATAAAGCTAGGTCGCTTTTCAAAGACTCTCGGAGCGAGAGTGCAGTTGAATAAGAAGTGAGTATAAGTCGAGAGGCAAGACAAGTAGCACGATTAGTAACATTACCCTTTTCTGCATTTTTTTTCTAAAAAAAAAAAAAAACTTTTCAGAATAGTGCTTCATAAATCCTCAAATTCAATTCAAATATAGCTGTCATACGCATATCCATATCTCTCACAAATTATATCCCACCATGAAAAATGAATATTTTTGAAAATGTTGTACATCGCCGCCATCTTATAATACAATTGAAAAAAATTTTTTTATGTAAACAAAAATTTCTAAATAAATATCATGGTTTTTTTTAGAAATACATCCTAAAAAAAGCCTTCTTTTTCCTTATTTTGAACTGGAATTTCCCCTTATAAAAATATAATAACTGAATAAGGTTGATTTACAGGACTAAATTATATAAAGAACTATTTTTTAATTTTAATTTAATTTTTTTATTTAAATGATTAAAATAAAATATGTTATTTACTTAAATATTTAATAATTTAAGTTTAAGTTCTATTACCTGACTTAGTATTATCTCTTTACAAATCTGCAGAAAGCATACATTTACTGACTTATTGAACAACTTAGTAGAAAATAGTGTCTTTAGAGGACTTTTTTTTACAAAAATGTGTCATTAGTGTCTTTTTTTTTAAAATAGTAGCTAAATAGTGGCATCAACTGAAAAAACTGGCAATAGTGATGTGAGTCGGAGGCCTGACATGGAGATAGAGTACGCTGATCACCAAACCGCGACACTTTTTTTTGTGAAACTGTGTTATTTTTAGAAAATTAAAAAGGAAACTTTTTAACTAAAATTTCTTTAAAAGTATCAACGGTTTTTTAATCTTAATCGAAAAAGTGTATAATTTCAACTCGATCTTTATTGTAGACTTCAAGTTACATTGAATGTAGAAAAGGGAAACAACCTTAGAATTTCTCCTTTTATATGCCAGAAGGCATGGTCGATCCAAGACACAACTCCATATATACGAAGGAAGAGAGATACAGGAAATTGTGTCCGTTTCCTTGCCGGTACACCGCATGCAGGCGGATTTACCAAAGAGCATGGATATATATATATATATATATATCTAGAACAGCACGGGATTTAAACTTCGAAACGAAAATCCTTCCGCAATTTACTCCTTCATCCACCCTATATTCTCTTTTAAACGGGAGAGTGAAAAAAAAATTAAATCCCACATTCCCATTTCACAAAGAGGATTACAGATGAGAACTTATCTTAATTTCGATAAATAAGTTGAAAAAATAAAACAAAAAAATTCCAGAGATCACTTTCAATTGAAATAATCGTTTGTTTTATAGTTCTACCATCAATTATTGAAGCTTTATCCGAAATTGTATACCTATATCAAATAACGAAATTATATGACCTCTTCGTATATAAATTTTAGTATTGATTAAAGCTATATTTTAACGCTTGAAGCATTATCAACGATTGAAACTATACTAGGTATAATTAAAACTACCAAGTGCAGAAGCTATCAATGTTTGAAACTGTAGTTTCTTGAAACTACTTAAATTTTGAATTTCACATCGATAACTATTGAAAGATATTTACTGTCGATGAACACTGTCGTTAACTAAAGTTATAATCGAAAAAAATTATCATCATACGGAGAGAAATAGATGGTAAGAACTTATATGATCTTAAGATGGTAAAAAGTAGATATTATCCGGTACTATCATTATGCTACTCGGTACTATCAAAGATGTTACAAAAAGTATGGTTATGTTACCTACTACAATTAAGATGTTACTCCGTACAATCTGGATAGTAACTGATAGAATCTAGATAGCTGTCCGTATATGTAAGATCAAATATGGTACCTGGTACTAGGGTAACTGCACCAGTGGTGGATCAATTAAGCCTACTAAATTTATTATTTTGACTTTAAAGGTGTACAGATTTTTTCTGATGAAAAATATAGGGTAATCTTTACAATAGTATGAATTTACAAGTCTTCAAGGACCCTTTACACCCTTTACACTACACAAAAATAACTTAATGATGTAAATTTTTTTCCAAAAGTATTCTATATGGAAAGAATTGATTACTTTCTACTCTAATAATTAAAAAAATTTAAACTAAACAATTATTTTTTAAGATTTCATGTGAAAAAGTATAAAATCAACAAATGTTGTATTGCTTTGTTTTCCTAAATATTTTCAAATGATTTTATTTCATAAAACTTATCTATACACAATTTGCCCTATATGTAAAATTCTTTTTTTAGTTTAAAAAAAATTTTTGGATGAAAAAAGTGTTATTTTTTTTACATAAAATTGCTATTTTATTTCTTAAAAGAAAATTTATGTGAAATAACGAATGATTGTGAAAGTAACTTTAAAAGTCCAGTTGCGACACGTGCAAAAGTTTTATCAGAAGAAATTCCGTTTACAATTCTAACATAGCAAAGTAAGAAGTCAAGAACTTTATATATCAAGAATGGGAAAAACAAATTTTTTGTTCACTTTTTTAAAAAATGCAATTTGTATAAAACGACATAGTCAAACATTTTTGCATATACTTTACTAAATGACTTTTGCATTAATTATGCAACAATTTGTATGTTAAAATAAAAGGGGAATTAAATTATTAATGAATTCCACGTTCTATAAGAAATATCAACAATTCACATTGCAGAACAACTATTTTAATAATTTAAAAAAAAATTGTTTTATTTTACACAGAAATAAAATAAATATATAAAATAAATTTTATAAAATTATTTTCAAGTCGTGGGAAATATGCTAAAAAGCAAAATTTTCTTATAAGAAATTCTAAACTTTATAGAAAAATTTTTATAAACTTAATGTGTTTTATTAAAAAAGAAGGAAACAATAGTTTAAATAAAATGACAGATTTAGAAATCATTTAGATTTCGAAACGTTGAAGTAAACTTTTATTAAACAACAATAGTCCGAATGTTATCGTTTTTATTCATACGAAACCTTCTTATTAATATAATTCTCGAACGTTAAATATTTTATTAATTTATAAACTTAATAAAGAATTTAAAAAAGTTTATTATCATTTTCATTACTAAATTAGTAATAAATTAAATTCGTTTTATCAAATTTTAATATTCAATTTTTACCATTTACTATTGTACATATAATTTTTTTTAAAGATTAGTATTTCTTATATTATTATATAATAAACGACACCAGGATGGTAATCCAGCCATAATGACTGTAAAATGTTAAATTATATAAATTGTTTTCTTTTGATGCCTACTTTATTTTGTTCAATTAATAAATTCATTCAATTTAAACCAACTTGCCAAAGTTGTCAAATTAATAGTCGACTTGTAAAATATAAATTTGATTTTCGCCGGGTCACTAATGCGTTAAGGACATCACTATTATCATTGAAATAAGAAGTCACCAAGGGAAGAGCTTCCTGGTGTATATATTTGGATGAGAGTCCCGAATATTCAAGAACACTAGGAAGACGAAATTGCTGTTTTGTTGACGATCTGTCAAATCAATACTGGCAGTCAATTTCCAATGGACTTCTCGCATAAATCATTTAACATCGGATAGTGTAGAAATCTACGTTACCGATGGTCGCATATCGGTTATCGATCGTGGATCAAATACTATATTGAAATTAATTACAAATCTGAATGACACCGAGAAGAGAGGCTGCTGTTTAGCAACGCTTTCGAATTTTACTCGTCAGCCATTTTTTACTTTCATTCTCATCCTGGTGTCAGTACAGTGTGGTTGTGTTTTTCCTCTACTTTTTTTTATTTTTGTGAAACTAAATTTAAAAATGTAAAATTAATAACGAGTCGATCTCATTATTTATTACAAATTAACCAAATAAATATAAAATCTTGTTAAATAGGCCTTTTTCTACTTTTAATAATTTAACCTTTCAAAATTAAAGTAAATATTAATAAATAGTGTTATTGTTAAATTTTGTCTTATTAATGGTGTTTCTCCTTATCCCCCCTCTCTCAGCGGTCTATTGTTGCTGTTAAGTAAAAATGGAATTCTTGAGCTGGTTTAGTTTTTCCTAATTAGAATTATAAAATTACTTTTCGGGTTATTGAACTAATTTTTTTAGTTTAGTTATTTTCCATAAAATAACTTGGTGTCTTGGCATAATTAATAATAATTAAAAAATGGAGCTAACGTTGATTATCTTAAAAATATGATACTAAAAAAAATCAATAAATAAAATAAATTTAATGTTACAATATAAATATATATATATATATATAGTTTTTAGACAATATGCTTAATTCTATACAGTTGCGAAACGTCGACGCAACAAAAGGAGACAATGCCTCTTAAGTTGAATTTAATATTAAACTTTGTGACAGAATTTCATCATAAGGTATTGGATGGTAGGTTTAATTAGAGGAATATTTTTTTGCACTGCTAAAAAGTCTGTAACAACTTCTTGGCAGTACATTGCCGCAGCCGCAATGCAGTGTAGGGCGAATGCCGGAAACTAAAGAAGAATAATCACCGTTGGGGCTACTATAACTTCCTCTCTATTTCTCTCTTTTTTTTGTCTCTGGCATCATCGTTTCTTTATTCTTCATCACGCCAATTTCACTTCTTGTCTTTAGATTTGTAGGATGCAATAAAATGATATATAGGTATCATTCCTTTAATACTTAAGAATAATTTTCGTATTTTTTAAATAAAATTTTTGATAATATTTTTGGTGGTTATATCTACATATCAGAGTTTACTTGAGAAGATTTAGAAATTAACCATTTTTACGTGAATAGAGAAAAATATAAATTATAATAAGAAGAAACAAAACACAGAAAGTAATCAAGACTTTTTTTTTTAATTTTCTTGGCTGCAAAAACATTTTCCTTGAGAAAGTTCACTAGTATAACTATTAGAGAGAAAGAGGTAATACAAAATAGCAAAAGGAAACAAAAAAACAATTTTTTTTTCTAAAAAATGGTCAATAATACTTGAAAATGTTGAAAATTATTAAACACAGATAAAATAACACAGTTCGACAAAATTTTGCCACAAGATTAAACGATGGTGATTCTTATAGGATTTTTGACGTAGATTACGAATCTGTAAATGAAATTGTCCCATCACGTCTCAATTTTGAGAAAAACTGTCTGAAAGTGTCAAAAAATCGCATTTTTGGCACTTTTTGAAGCACTATAAAAAAAGAACGCGACGTGATAAACGGCTCAAATATGGCTTAAATAAGAGCTAGTACCCTCAACTTTAACCTCCAAAAGCAAAAAACCATGTACCAAGAACTCAAAATTGTGGGCAACATTTTTTTACCGCGTGCGCGTCCAACAGATATTGTTCCCACGATAAAATGAAATAAATTGCTGAAAACGTCGTCAAAGACACAAGATCGATTTAAATTAACTTCAAACTGGTTACTCGGGGGTTTTCGGGGTCGCTGATTACGAATCTGATGTTAGTTTTTAAAAATCCAATATGGCGGATCCAATATGGCGGACGATTTTTGGAATAACTTAACATATTAGTCTGAAAATCGTTACTTGGGGGTTTTCGGGGTCGCTGATTACGAATCTGATGTTAGTTTTAAAAAATCCAATATGGCGGACGATTTTTGGATTAACTTAACATATTAGTCTGAAAATCGTTACTTGGGGGTTTTCGGGGTCGCTGAATAGGAATCCGATGTTAGTTTTTCAGAATCCAATATGGCGGAACTAACATGGCTTGACTATTAAATTACTACAAATTTTTTTGAAAGGAGTTATTTAATGAATAATTTAATTTTTTCTTTTTTACGCAGTTACATGAACCTTCTTTTTACTAATCCAATATAAAAAAAACTTTATTGAGATAAAAATGTGACGTTTCGTTTATTTTGCACCATTAAGGATTTTAATTTTATTTCTTTTACATTTTCAAGGAGTTCAATTGATGAGCTCGCTGTCAGTTTGTTTCTAATTTTTTGTGGACGAAAAAAGTAGACGTTAAAAATGAAGCTTGATGTTTTCTGTTGTTTTCATTTTCACGCCGTATTAATTAAATCTGTTTGACAATATAACAAAAATTAATTAAATTTATTTTAAACCTAGTAACCATTTTTTATTAAAAAAAACTGTTTCCTCTTATAAATGACGTGGAGGCATGAAAATAATTACTAAAATTACTAAAGTCTGCGAAAATCAAGAACTATTTAAAAATTCGCTCGCCAAATTCGATTCGCTATCTTGTATTTAAAAATTTTTAAGTCAAATTCATAATTTGCAATCTCAAAACTTTTTATATACTCAATTTAATAAAAAACCATAAAATCTTTAAGCATCAGATTCGTAATCAACAACCCCGAAAACCCCCGCGTAACGATTTTCAGACTAATATGTTAAGTTATTCCAAAAATCGTCCGCCATATTGGATTTTTAAAAACTAACATCAGATTCGTAATCAGCGACCCCGAAAACCCCCGAGTAACCAATTTGAAGTTAATTTAAATCGATCTTGTGTCTTTGACGACGTTTTCAGCAATTTATTTCATTTTATCGTGGGAACAATATCTGCTGGACGCGCACGCGGTAAAAAAATGTTGCCCACAATTTTGAGTTATTGGTACATGGTTTTTTGCTTCTGGAGGTTAAAGTTGAGGGTACTAGTTCTTATTTAAGCCATATTTGAGCCGTTTATCACGTCGCGTTCTTTTTTTATAGTGCTTCAAAAAGTGCCAAAAATGCGATTTTTTGACACTTTGAGCCCGTTTTTCTCAAAATTGAGACGTGATGGGACAATTTCATTTACAGATTCGAAATCTACGTCAAAAATCCTATAAGAATCACCATCGTTTACTCTTGTGGCAAAAAAAAACCTAAATTTTGTCGACCAGTGTAATGTATGTACCTAAATTACAAAGCGGAACTCTAATCGAGACAACTATAGATTGAATACAGGTATTCAATAATTAGAGTTTTAAATTGTAAAAAATTAGTGATTTTTACTGAGAAAAAAAAATATAAATGTAATTTTAAGGGGACTTTCTGGTTTAGAATTTCAAAAAAATCGATTTTTTTTTTGCTTAAAAATGTTCCATAGTATCATAGAATTACTGTCCCAAATCGTTTTTTAAAAAATATGTACAAAAACAAAAGTTATAACAATATTTATGACGGTATGTATTTCAACAACAATCTACAGTTATCTTATTTACATATTTGGTGTTCCTCTTTTATTGATATTAGCTTGAAACATGTTACTCGAGGGTTTTTGAGGTCGCTGATTACGAATTTGATGTCAGTTTTTTAAAATACAAAATGGCGGATCCAATATGGCGGACAAAGATTAAGAAATTAATTAGATTTAGTTGAAAATGGTTACTTGTGGCCTTTTGAGATTGCTAGTTATGAATATAGGCACAAAACATTAACGTTCTGGGAACGTTTTAAATACATATACACTGAAAAAAAAATGCTATAGAATCTAAAGATATGCTATTGCGGGCTGCCAAAAGCAGATATTGTTGAATGAATAGCATATGTTCAAAATTTTAAAGCATTGCGTTTGAATCAAATACTTCATTATCAATTTTGAAAGTAATACTGTCGAATTGTTCATATATGCTATTAATTTAACATTATCTTCTTTTGATAGCTCGCAATAGCATATGCTTTAAATTCAATAGCATTTTTTTAGTGTATATATCCTAAATTCTAATTGGATTTTGATTTAATGGAGTAAGAGTGTTTCTGAGTTTTATGGATGTTTCTTCAATATGTATCAAGTTTTAATCAAATCCGGTTGAATTTTTATTTTTTCGTCCGCCATATTGGATCCGCCAGTTTGAATTTTCAAAAACGGACATTAAATTCGTAATCAGCGATCCCAAAAACCCCCGAGTAACAAGTTTTAAGCAAATCCGGTTGAATTTTTTTTCGTCCGCCATATTGGATTCGCCATTTTGTATTTTCCAAAACGGACATCAAATTCGTAATCAGCGACCCCAAAAACAGCGGGATACGAAGTTCTGTTGTAATAAAAAGTTGTTTGATATTCATGACTCAATGAATTATGTTATGAAAACTTTGAACGCGTTTTTCTCGAAAACTCATTTTTCAAACTGGTACAGAGCTTTTCTCGAAATCTACCGAACCGATTTTGAAATCCCAAAAATTTTTCGATTCTTTATTTAAAAAACTAGTGACTAAACCTCTAAAAACTCATATTTCTACCCCCTGTGTTTTTATATGGAGGTAAATTGACCCAAAAACACGGCGTTTTTGCGAGTTTTTGAGAAAAATGTACATAAAAAATAAAAAAACCTTTAAAAAAAATCATTTTTGAGGTTTAGGCACAAGAATAAATCCTTATAAAGAGATTCCCGTTTGGAACTTGAATTTATGTATTACAGGTTGCCCGGAATCTAACGTACCAAAAAAAGGTATCTTTTGGAAGACACCACCTACAGCTATGAAATTGAACTAAATACACTCAAACATATTTTTTAAATTTTCTCTACGCAATGTGCTACAATGTCCAAAAATAGTTTTTACAATGGGGATCCTCACGGCCAAACTTGGCCAGCAGAGGGCAGCATCACTGCAAGATCGTAGAGCGCTAAATTTCAAATCGAGTTTATTCCATGATATTTAATAAACATATTATAAAATGTTTTTGTTCACTTAAAAGACGAATAAAATCATTTAATAAGAAATTGTGGTTATAATAAAGTGTGGGTAACTGTTTAAAGATTTTAGGAGACAAACTGATACGGTCAGCTGTTGTCTGTTATTGCCAGTCATTATCGTCAATTTTCAGACAGCGTTGTAATTAGTTAGTTACTTACTTACTTACTTACTTATTTACTTACTTACTTACTTACTTATTTACTTACTTACTTTTTAATGGACAGTAATATGTTTGTCGTATATATTCAAATTTTATTTGTATTTTATGAAATATTTATTTAATTTGATTTTATTCTTTTTCAATCATTACTATATTGTGAAAAATATAAAAAACAAACAAAATTTACTTATTAATCATTTAAAAATTACAATATAATTACAATATTTCTAATATTCAATATGCAAATAAGTAATTGTTTTTATTTCATTAGACAACATAACCTCAATTTTTTTATTTTGTTTTTACAAGACTCGGAGTTTTTATAATACTTTTAAATGTATTTAAACAACAATATTAATATTTTAAGACAAATTAAACACAATTTATTGAAACTTTATGTGAGAAAGATTTCTATTTATGATTACACTTGCATATATTTACACATTTTCTTAGATGTATTATTTTATTTTATACATACCTTTCTTGTAAAACTTTCTTTTTTCCTGTAAGACGAAGTCCTCGCTTACGTAATTCGTTTTTCAATTGTACACACGACCAAGAAAAATATTTATTTATCTCGTTACTCATGTTTTTATTTTATCAAAACAAGAAGAAAATCAAATGTCATTTTAACCGAAATCAAAAATTTGGCGCTCCACGATCTTGCTATGGTGCTGCCCTCTGGGCTCAGCTTTACATATAATGGTCCCCATTTCTTTAATACTGTTCTTACAATAAAAGTTTTAAAACCTTCCTTTTTTGTCAATTCTAAACCAGAAAGTCCCCTTAATTGGAAATTTAAAATTTTCTACGAATTCTTTAAGAACAAAACTTGACAAATTTTCATTTAGAAAAGAAGTAGTATAAAAAAAAGAAAAAAAAAGTATAAAACTTTTATGAAGCTATGAATTTCTTTGTAGCCAGTTCGCAATAGCATCTCACGGTTTTTCGCGACCTTCATGTGTCAGCGAACAAAATTAAATTGAAGATGGTAATCATGAGCAAGTGCCCAGAGAGGCTGAATAAAAGATTCATATAAATTTTTTTGTCTAAACAAAAAATTTTATATTAAATGTTTAATGAAATTTAAAAATTATACAAATTGTTTCAATAAACATTATATCGTTAGTTAATAAGTTAATTATAGTTTAGTTTAAAATAATTTAGTTATTTCACTATAATTATAGAAATTTAGAAATTAGGAATATTATAAATTATAAAATTTAGAAAAAATAGTACAACATATAATAATAAAAATACGCTTGATATATATATTTTTTTCCCAAAAGACGTAAGCAAAAAAATGAAAATTTATCTGAAAAAAATGTATAAATGTTTATTAGCGAATAAATATGAAAAAACGTGTGTTAGTAGTAAAAAAAAAAACTATGTCAATGTAATTGTTTATTTTCACGGCTATCAGGACATAAAGAAAATGCGCTTCAACTTTTAGTTCCGATGGTCTTCAATATTATATAGCTGTGATAGTGTTTTTTAGATATTTTTTATTACCGCTAAATTTTAACATTTCTGAGGACATGTGGAACCTTGAAATTTCTAGTGCAAAGATTATTAATTTTTTTTTAACGATTTCTATTTTATCGCTATTGAGATATAAATACAGAAGCAAAGTTTACACGAATCATAAGTCGACCACTAATCATTAAGGAACCATTGTCAAAAGTGAGTAAAAAAATATTTGACATTTTTTTATATTTTGTCTATTTTTTTAATACTTTTCTTTTAGATTTCTTTTTGAATACATTAAAACTTTTTTGCAATTTTTTTTGTAGTATTTTGAATTGCAAATTTATTCTTTGTTATCAAAGTTTGTATCAAATTTAAAATTCTAGTTTTGTGAAAAATATTTATAAAATCCATACGAGTTAATGTTTGATTATTCGAAATGAACTTTTAAAATAAATTATTAAGGCAAAACAATTGTTCAATTTTTAAGAAATTATATAAATTTATTTTTTATTTTGAATTTTTTTTTTAAATTTCAATTATAAATGTCAAAAAAATAAATAAGATTTTTTGACAAACGTTTATTTTTAAAGGATTGTAATTTTATTGATTAACCATCTCTCTCTCTCTCTCTCTCTCTCACCTTAAGAACTTTTGTATTTTATTTTTTCTTTTTTCATTTTCAATATAAAATGTTCTTTACGTTCATTTTTTCATATTTCTCTAGTACTTATGTATGATTGGGCATTCTCAGCCCGTATATTCTTATAAAAAAAATAATAAATAAATGTTTATAACATTTTTAATTAATAACAGTTTGCTCGTTCTGATGTTTTTCATTTAAATTTATTAAAAAAAAAAATTATTAAATTAGTAAAGTACCTATTTAAAATTCTATCTGAATTTTTGTTATTTTTGAATTTTATTTACTCTCTAAATCTGAATTAGTAAAAATGTTTACTAATTTGAATTAGTGACTCACTTTTTGCTTCTGAGTAAGGAAAATTTTTACTAATTGTTAGTAAAAGTTACTAATAATTAGTAGAATTTTACTAATTGAGAAGCAAAAAGTGAGTCACTAATTCAAATTGGTAAACATTTTTACTAATTCAGATTTAGAAAGTAAAAGTTGATTATTATTATTATTAATTGTATTTATTATTAATTAGTGTAAAACAAACTGTTTACTATATCATGTAAGATTGAATATAATATTACAATTGTAATAAACAATTATCATATATAAACAAAATAAATTAATTAAAAGTTTTATAATGTATCGAGTTCTCATTTAACTAGAATGAAATTAATTAATTAATTGAATTTGTAATCTAAATTGATTGTCATAAAAAGGAATACTTTTATAACGTAAAATAACGTATTCTAAAAAGATAATTAATTATATTTTTGTATGGTTTCACTATCGAATGACTGTTTATAAAAAGGTAATTCGAACTCAAAGAAATATAGGTCATAAATATCATTAATTAATTCAGTGATGAGCAAAGAAAAAAAAATTATATGAAGTGTATTTCATGATCATGTAATTTTCGTTATATATAAAATATAAAGTAAAACAGTAAAATTATTTTTAAAAAAAATCATGTTTTTTATTTTTTACACAAATGCCTGAAGTTCTGAAAGTTAAAATAAATGAAAAATTTATTGACTACTTTTTTAACTTCAAATTTTTATTATAAAATATTGCTTTCTGTACCTATTCATTGCTTTATTATTTTTGAATTTTTGGGGTCAGATAACATTGAAATATAATAAAAAAAAATACAGTCGAACATTCTAACCAACACAATGCAATAATATAATATTAAATTATGTAAAAGCAATATTAAAATAAAATTTCAATATATATATATATATAAAAAAAAATGCTCATGATTTTAAACTGGGTATATATATGCAAATTATTTTGCACTCACATAGAAATATGAAATATTTTATTTGAAATGAAAATAACAAAGTGAAAGTATCACATTTTCATTATCTTGATTTCGATGAGAATAGAGCAATGAAAATATTATAAGTAATATAAAAAATTCAACCGAAAAATCAGAGAATTTAGAATATTGGAAAAAGAGTCAGACTGAATATGCACGAATCTCTACATAAGTTACTGGCAAATGAACCAGTCGATTGTATATTCGTGGGTCAGTCCAGAAATAAAGCTCCATCTTAGTTTGCCAATAAATCCATTTATAGAATTTCATCGTATTATTACTATTATTATATTCATCCGCCACTCGTACCAGTCGTGCTCGCGATGAGTGAGAATCACGTGATTTTTTATTAAACTTCTATTCAATGCAATTTCGTTGCATTTTCTATTTAAACATTTATATTTTTATAATTCCAATTAATAATTCTTTTACTTTTATATATTAAAACAATATAATAAAACACGCAAATATTTTTCACATATTCATTCAATTGTTTGAAAATAATTTAAAAAATTAATAATATTTTTCATATTCATATATCAGCAATCGGTAAAACAGATTTAATCGGTTAAATTAGTAATAATTCCACTGGTTTCCAGTGAAAATTCTATTAAAGTATTTTCAGTACAATTTTGACTATATTTTCATATTAATACTGAAAAATGAAAACAGTTATTTGATTCAAATACTCGATTATTTAACTATATTATCAAATAAACATTTATTTGTATCAAATAATTATTATTTGAATCAATTAAATGGAATTTATTTTAAATACATAAATTATTGTTTTAAATACAATTTATTTGATTGGAATAAAAATGATTTGGTTCAAGTAAATATTTATTTGACAATAGTCAAGTAATCGAGTATTTGAATCAAATAAATTTTTTTTTTTTTAGTATAATTAACCTATTTTGTTTAACACAATTAAAAAGTTTAGTTAATTCAAATAAAAACTTGGTTCATTTAAAGTCCAAATGCATAAAATTCATTTAGTCAACAAAAACAAAATTTTTATTTAAGTTTGTTACATCAAAAATCATATTTTTTCGATATATGTAAACCTTATTTATATATTTAGAATTTGGTAGAGTTTTCTAAAGTTCTGAACGTTCAAATGAACAAATTCTTTTTTTTTTGGTCCATAAAATGTTAAAAATTATTAATGCAATAAAAAATAAATACATACAAGTGAATGAAATATTTTTTATGATATTAATTTTCTTTTTTTTTTGATACGTGAAGCAGTATTTTATAATAAAAATGCAGAACATTGAAAATTATGAAAGTTTATATTGTTTAAAGAAGGTAATCAATCATTATTTAGAAGATTGCGTTCTGTGATAGCATTCACAGTATATGAATCATAAATGTCACTCTAACACTTGCTACATAACTACCATGTTAAACTGTATAATTAATCTATTAAAATTATCAACACAGCAAAAATAAATAATATAATGCATCTTCTATAAATAAAATAAATACTTGATGAAGTATACATAATTAGGGGAGACCGGGGTTACTTGGCGCACTTTTTACTTTTTGTTGTGTAACTCACTCATTTTTGCTTTTTTTAAAAAGTTAATGTATAGAAAACTATTTGTAACATATCAGCTTTAATTTAAAAAAAAGAAAGTTGAAATATATTTAATACTTTTATTTTTATACCACTTTATTTGAAGCTGTGCAAAGCGAATTTCAGGAGTGAAATTAAAATTAAATTATATGATTTAAAGTTTAAATAATATAAAACTTAACAAAATAAGTCTTGTACTGTAATTTTACAATAAAATTATTTTAAATTTAAAAATTAGAAAATTTCATTTAAATTAAATGAAATCGTAAAATTACCATAAAATATATATATTTTTTTTATAATAACGCTGTGAATATTTAAAAACCATTATTCGGTTATATTTTTTGAATAGGATTATTATTGGTGCTTATTAATGTGTAAATTTCATATAATCAACTTCATTTTATTAATATTTAACGAAATTTTCAGATAACCGCGCCACCTAACCCCGAATGTACTTTTAAAATATTTATTAATTTTTTATAAAAACTGTTAATATAAATGAAAAAAATTTTTTTGTTTCTTAATAACAAATGTATAGAGCTCAAAACTTAATATTTGAGCTCTTCTAAAATTAATTTTTTAAAAAGATATCACAAAAAAATGAAGAGGTTAAAAAATTACTTTTGAGTGCCAAAATCAGTTATTTTAATCTATACTCCACAATAATTAATGAATATTAATGAAATTTTGTACAAACTTACAGTTCATCAAGTACTTTAAGCAGAATAAAGAGAAAAATAATTGTAACTTAACACTTTTGAATAAACTCAAGTGCGCCAAGCAACCCTTGCGCCAAATAGCCCCCGGTCTCCCCTAATCATTGTAATTATAATATTTAATTTATTTTAATCACTCTTAAGTCTCATATTAAAAAAATGCCTTTAATTCCTCAAAGGACCCCGCACAAAATGCATTGATGTTGGTTCTCGGTCAAAATGGCTGGTTTTTGGATATGTTGTAGTTTTAGTAATTCTGAATAAATGTTTCCTCTATCAAAATTCAAAAAAATGATAACTTTTAATGTTATCAGCCATAAATGGTTGAAAACTCGTGCGGTATGGTTCATATAAAAACATGCAACAAGAACGAAAAAAAAACAGATACAAGTTCTTTTTGTTATTATCGTTGGATGGATGGATGAATGGGTGGATGGTTCGATGGATGAATGAATGAATAAATGAATGAATGAATGAATGAATTAATCAATTAATTATTCACTTAATTAATGAGTGAATCACGGAATGAATGAAAAGATGGATGGATGAATAAATAAATAAATGAATTATTCATTTAATTAATGAGTGAATCACAGAATAAATAGATGGATGGATGGATAATCGGTTTTTCTGTTTATTTTTTAACTGATTATCTTCCTGCCTGCGAATCTATCTATCCATTTGGCTACATGCTTTGGTTTCTATTTTGTTTGATAAACTACTTATCTATCACTGTATTGCCTATTTGTCTAATTGCCTATCTGATCTCTCTAGCTGCAGATCTGATTTACAATCATCATACAATCATGCAAGGTAGTCTGAAACCATGTAGTCTTCCATCCACCCATCCATCCATCCATCCATCCATCCATTCATCAATCCATCTATTCATTCCGTGATTCACTCATTAATTAAATGAATAATTCATTCATTCATCCATTCATCCATCCATCCAACGAT